AAACTCCTGAGCTCAGGCAATCTACCCACCTCAGCTTCCCAGTCTGCTGCGATTATAAGCACGAGCCACCGCCCCAAGTCATCATGTTCCATTTTTTCCTTAGCTGTCAGGAAGCTCAAAGTCAATTTAATGTTTAATATTTCAGGTGCCCCCCCACCAGCTGTACCATTTCCATTAAATATTTAATTCTTAGCCTTAAGAATTAGCACACACATCTACTTCCTTATTTTACAACACTAAGCATACATTGCTTTATTTTCTTTAAAACAAAATGTGATGTATGGAATGATCCCTGCATAAGCCCAAATAATAAAATAATAAATTTAATACCTGGATCTTCTTTCATTTCAACGTCTTCTTCTTCATTATTATCATCTATTAAAAAAAAGGAAGAGAGAAAGAAAGACTCATATGAAAGTGGGAAATGCCAGAATTCTCCAACCTGAGTAATAAAAACATCCAAAAAAAAAATCTTAGTAGAAAAGAGACTATTACGACATACATTTCTGTTGTCTTATTACTCAGAGTTAAGAAACAAGTTGTGCACATTAAAAGGATAATTTACCATCTAGGGTTTACATTTATTTTCTTTAAAAAAATTATTATATGTTTATAACAAAATATACATGGTATATACAATAATTTGTTTGTATATAGTGCTTGTATACGAAGCTTGTATATACAAGCTATATATGGTTACTTCAGTCTTTTCAATTCCTTGAACTTAAAAATCACAGACTTTGAACACCATATTTTCTATGTTTGTTAAAGGTATGTGTGTGCACCTCAAGTATTTGAGAACTATGGACATGGCTACTTGGTTATTAGGCCAATACACATCCGACCCCTGACCCGCACCATGCAATGTGCAATGTGCAATGTGCTGGTTTGCTACATATTTAAACCCAAACTTCTAACCACATGCTTTCAGGTGCTCCCCACCAGTTGTACCATTTCCATTTAACTCCCCTCATTTCCCAGTATAACTTCTTTCTAACGGGACAAGAACACATGATACCTCTGCCCTACACGCTTGCTCTATTGAGCTTTGATACATTGTCATCTCGCTACTTCAAAAGTCCCCAGATCCAGTGCTACGGTGTCAGTGTTGTTTGTGTCCCCTCCAAAATCCCTGTGTTGAAATCCTGACCCCAAGGTCATGGTATTAGGAGGTAGGGCCCCTGGAGGCGATTAGGTTGTGAGGGTGGAGTTCTCACGAATGGGATTAGTGTCCTTATAAAGGAGACCCCAGGGAGGCCCCTCACCCCTCCTCCTTGTGAGGACACAGAGGATCCTGTCTATGAGGAAGAGGAAGTGGGGGCTTCGCAGACACTGAGCCTGCCCGCACCTTGATCTTGAACTTTTAGCCTCCAGAACCATGAGAAACAAATTTCTGTTGTTTGTAAACCACCCAGTCTGTGATATTTTCTTGCTGCAGCTGGAATGGGCTAAAACAGTGGTTCTCAACCTGTGGGTCATGACCCCTTTGGAATGTATTAAAGGTTCATAGTATTAGGAAGGTTGAGAACCGCTGGGCTAAAGCGTCAGTCAAATCTTGTCCTGTGTCCAGGTGTGCACCTCTCTCCCCACAGTACTGTAGTTCAGATTCACGCTCACAGCACCACTTGCCTTAGCTATTTTAGTAGTTACCCAAGTGCTTCTCTCTTTTCCCCTCCTGACTCCCATTTCTTTTACATGTGGCTGCCAAATCAATCTTGAAATACAGCTCTGATCTGGTTCACTAAGTTTCAGTGACTATCCTCTGCCTAATGAAAAATGTGTATTCTCTTCCTGGTTACGTTCAAGGCCAACGCTGTCTAGTTCCTACCAATTTTCTTGCTTTGACCTCCTCTGTTACACCCATACCACCTCCATGGGTGGTGGCACTTGACACCACTCTGTTCTCTCAGAGTCTCCCTCAGCTTCTTCTCCCCGAGGCAATGCTAGCAATGCCCTTCTCCATTTCCATTCACTCTTTCTTTAAGTCCAATCTTGGGTACCATACCACCTGCTTGATCCAAGTGGCATAAACATACTGTACATTTACTGCATGCTGAGTATGAACTTGATGGGCCTGTGGGCTTAGGTCTGCAGACTGGCCCCTTCCAGCCACCCATTCCCAAGGCAGGTGATCTTGGGGAAGTAACCTACTATTCCTGAGGTTAAGTTCATCATCTGTACAGGGGATGATAATAATGCCTACTGCACAGAGGTGATATGGATTAAATGAGACAGAGCACTAACACATTGTTAACATCAGTTATTATCACCATAAAATCCCACAGTCTGGTTACTTGTTAATGCATCTGTCTTCCAGCGTTCAGCTCCAGATCATCAAATCTATGACAATAGAGACCATGTCCCGTGTGTCTTATGTTTCCTTGTATTCCCCGACACTTAATGCTATTTATTTGATACACTAGAATCAATAAAGAAATTTCCACTGAATTGAATTTTTACTTCTTCCTTTGTATCTCATACATACTAGGGTACCTTGGAGCTATGATGAACTTTTCAGAAAGTGACCAGCCAGGTGGTGAGAGAAACAGAAAGATGTATGGCTGGACACTTTCCAAACAGCCCTCCAATACAGTGCGCTGTAAGTAATGGGAGGTCTGTGAAGATTTGTAACTTTCTCCTAGTTTAGTTTCTCCTAATTTATAATTTAGTCTCTCTTAGTCAAATTTATTCAATGTGTTGAATGTTGATAATATTAGAACTCTAGTAGTCAGAGGTAATGGAAAAGGCTTATAAAATGAGGTTTTATAAAAGTAATTCTGGTTGGCTATAGTTAACTTTTAAAGAAATAATTATTTAAAAAAGTAAATGTCTAAATATATTGAAAACATTGGTGATTTTCTATATAATTTTTGTCTTTTATTCTTTCTACGAATGTAATTTTGAAAAGAAGACTATCAATGTCTTAGAAATACAAGTTTCTAACCAAATGATTATCAAAATTTTACAAAGTAAACTCTTCCCTGAACTTAATATATTTAAACAGAATTTCACTTTCCAGAACGACCTAACATCTCTATGACAACAGACTCTCTGGAATCTCAAAGAGGGATAAAAAGGAATCTTCATAGTCTCCGTGGAAAAATAAAAGAGGAATCCAGACCCCTTTGCTTGTTATCCATGTTCCCATTTGCTCATCTGGCAAATATTCAATGGTAGCCGATGTGTATGAGGCTCTGTGTCTGTGTCTGTGTCTGTGGAGAACACCAGTGGAGCAGGGTGAGTCAGGTAGAATCTTGTCAGGACTTAGGAAGCTAAGACATACAGACAAATCCCAGCAGGTAGTAGAGTAGTCCATGCCACTGAACGGTGTCAGAGGTGGGACTGACGCTCCTGGTTAGCTACTGGAAGGCTTCTTGGAAAAGAAGACATGGGAGCTGATGTTTGAACTTGTTAGACTCTCCTGATATTGTCATCTCCAGAATGACCCCTATGTGTTGAAGAATGAGACTTAGCATTTTTATTCATTCATTCATTCCATTCATTCACTGATTTGTACAAATAATGGTTAAAACTCTGTCCAGGATCTGACCTTAACCGGCTTGGGTTTACTTCCAGGATTAACCACCTATAATTACAGTCTTGGGCAAAAAGCAAACGAGAATGTTGTACTCTAAAACATGGATGAATTAATGCATCTAGCAGCCTCTAGGTCTCTCTGACCTTCACCCCCAAAGCCTGTCCATCCATCCTCTGTTTCTTCCAAAACACAGGCTGAGTCTTTTCTCTGAAGTTCCTTTATGTACTTCAAAACTGGACCTACCAAGAGGCACAGTTGCTTTCTACTCCCTTCTGAGATATCACCATCTACTGCAGAAAAGATGGACACAAGCATACTGGAGCAGACTTTTTTCACAAGTTTGTGTCTGCCTCTTAGGCTCATTCAAATTCCAATGAGAATCATTTGCAAGTTAATTTCTGTCTTTTTTGTCCATTCTTTCTCCCTAATAATCATTTATTGCCCCTTAGAAAATCTATGTTCCCCATCTTCTGTCTCCCCTATGAAGAATATGTAGGTCTGTGTACCCACTGGGTTATGGGGCAATTGTTCTAATGTGGTTCCCCCATGCTTAGTAACTTTCTATGTCATTTCTCCTATTAATCTGCCTTTGTCAGATGATTTTCATGGAACTTTCAAGAGGGCGAAAGGAATATTTTCTTTTGGTCCCTACTTAACATAGGAACTACACCTCAGATTCTTTACCTGAATTATAAGGAAAATAAAATTCTAGCTTTCCGGGGGTGGTAAAGTAACTAAAATGCTTACACAGAATGAGCATGGAATAAATAGTGATTATCGCTGTTTGGTGTCATTCGTATTATTACTTTGCTACTTAAACAACTATCTATTAGGCTTGACCATGTGCAAAAACTATGTTAGGCCTTAAAGATACAGATTAACAATCCTTTCCCTCAAAATCTCACAAAGTGGGTGATACAGAAAAGTAAAATAACAGACCAGGAAGTAAGAGATTCTCTGATGGAGGGACCTGGACAACAGGCAGCTGAGGCAGAGAGAGGTCTCCGAAGGCTTTCTGAAGAGGTGAGGCTTCAGCTGAGTCCTGAAGGGCGAGTGAAGTTAGCTACTGAAAAGAAAGGCTGCAGTGGACGCTCAGGAGATGTGGGTGCTCTGCCTTCACCCCCTTGTTCCTGGGCATTCAGTGCACGTCAACCTGACCTCTAGCCACCAGCTCCCTAGTCTCTTTCCCTGAGGGCTTTTGCTGGTTGTGGGAGCCCACTCAAGAAATAACAGGGAAAGGACGCTCTCCAGAGGCCAGCTTTCACACACAGTGGCAGAATTTGCGTGTAAGTATTTTAACGCCCTTGCCAATCAGATGGCCAGCTCAGAAGCATGTTCCTCACCATGTCCCTGGTTTCTGCTCCCATCAGGACTGTGCCCCAGCTGGCCAGTGGTAATGTTGGGGTGAAAGAGAAGGAAGCCTAACTCTATTTTGATATAATTCCTTTTCCAGAGAATCAGTGGGAAGGCAAAGTGGGCCTGATTCCATTCTGTTGTTTTGCTACATTTTATTGCTTTTAAAACCACACCAGTTCCACCTGCCTCCCCACCCATTGCATGATATTTTAAGTGCATTTCGTTAGAACTGTTAGATTGTGTAGAAAGTAACTATGTTTGGGACAACAACCCTCGTGATTATGTTAAGGTGGTCTTCATGCCATCTGTATATGAAAAGAGCAAGTTTAATCCCACTTTACTGTTGACTACTTTTCTGTTACATTCCATTCCCATTGTATAACTGTGATTGCATTCAACTAAAGTTGTTAGAGATGTAAATTACTGACTGCACTTGTGATTATGTCCCTGGTGATTATTGCTTTATGCCCCCCACCTATAA